GGTATGCCCCTCGCCTCCGTACCCGTCACCGCAACCCCCCCCCCCCTTCCCTCCATCTTCGCTCAATCCTCTCCTCCTTCCTCTCTCCTCTCCTCTCCTCTCCTCACCTCTCCTGTCTTATCCTCTCTTCTCCTCTCCTGTCCTGTCCTGTCTTATCCTCTCTTCTCCCTGCTACCTTCTCTCCTCTCCTCCCTTGTCCTCGCTCCTCTCGTTCACTTCAATATCCGCTTCCTGCCATGCCTTAGTTTTATGGCCCCTCCGGTAACAATTGGGGTAAAATTTGAAATGTTGAAATCAAGTTTTAATATACAGATATTTTTCAAAAAGAGTTCGCCAAGCGAAAATGCCGAAAATCATTACGTACAGGACATACAAGGGAGGCGAGTGAAGAGGAGGAGGAACACGAGTGGGAGAAGGAGGAGGGAGGAGGGAAGAGCAGCAGCAGCAGCAGCAGGAGAGTGGCACATTGCAGACTTCAGATCTTCTTCCCAAGAAAGGCACATTCAGCGGTCCTGACACGATCCGAAAGGCTCTTGACCTGATCGAGAAGATGAGCGAGGAGGAGGAACGAGGAGGAGACGAGAGAGGAAGAAGAACGACTGAGATCAGCTACCTTCCCCTGGAGATCGTTCAGGGACACAGTGAGTTGCTGTAGAGCCTCCAAAGGAACTTCGACCAGATCGTCCTCCCTGATTATTATCGTGAGCTCATCGCGCGGGGACATGCGCGCCGTCCTGCTACCTTCGGTACATGGTCCTCTGTCTCGTAAGCAGAAGCTTTGGGTCAGGCTTCCCCTGTGCCGTGGAGGGTTTGGAAGCGTTTGACGGTGGTAAGGTCGACTGTTGTGCCTGCTGGTCCTTCCCGTCGTTCTCCGGCCATGCTTGCTTCTTGTCTTTCGTCCCTGTGCTGTCCTTGGGATCCTTGGAGTTTTCTGCCGTGCTGTCACTAGCTCGGCCGTGCTGCCTCCAGCCTCACCGTCATTGACTTTGTTTTTCTTGGCTAGCCCCTTGAGCCTTGCAGAAATTGAGTTCAAGAACGGAAAGATGCCCTAAAGCTCGGGCTGTGAGGGAGTCGAGTGACGCGGCAAGCAGGAGAACCTTTGCAAACTCCTTGGACAGCGAGTCTTCGTCCTTGATCTTGGACACCTCCTGATAGCTCTTCATGATGAGCTGGGGAGGCAGGTGAGCAGGAGAAAGCGGGTTGTCGGCGAGGTCAGACCGCAAGGAAGGTGTTAAGCATGAAGAAGAGGCAGATGAAGAGGAAGCTGAAGGAGACGAGGGGTCCGAGGTACTGGTTGACAGCCCTGGAGGGGGTCAAACGTCAAGGTGGAGAGGAGGAGGAGGAGAGATGAAGAGGAGGAGGAAGAGAGATGAAGAGGAGGAGGAGGAGGAGGAGGAGGAGGAGGAGGAGAATTTGAGAAGGAGGCGTCACTGTAGCTCGTCAAACTGCAGGCCGTGCAGAACAGCCTCAATGGAGCCGAGCAAA